GTGGGTGTGGGGCCTTTATGGTTTTCTTGCACCGGGGCCCTGAGGGTTCTAGTTACGCCTCTGCTTTACGTCATTTGATTAAAAGGAATGCATGTAAAACTGCTATAGAGGTCTTCAATCTACATCTTTCCTCAGTTCCTTACACATAGTTAAATAGAAAACCAGTGACACTTTGGCACTCTGACTATTACTAATTTAGGAAAAGGGCTCATTGCCCACAACTATTTCTATCCTCAGCGTGACTTTGACGCATGCAGAACAGGTGCTGGAGACTTCGCACTTCCGTAGAATGCCTCAGGAGCTACCTTCTTTACATTGGCTGCCGCCTTTTCTAGTACGGTGACATCATAACTGATGGGAAATAAATAGCTGTGACCTGCCTGACCTTGTTCATTAAATACTACGAAGCAGAAGAAGAGGTAGTGGAAACCAGCATAATGAGGTGTATCATCATTGGAATTGGGGGGTAAGTCTTTACTTTGCCTGCATCAAGTCAGGGTGGCAGTCAGTGTAGTAACCTGCATGATACTGCATCAGTTAGTTATATTCTTTCTGATTATCTTGGGGCATGACGGTTGGAGAGGTACAGATTTGAGGAAGTTTGCTAGAGTTCAAACTATCTTTTTATTTTTTAATAGTAGGCCAATTCTGTCTAAGTTTTCATGAAACTCCAACTAGCCTAAACTACTGTCGCTCATGCTTCTAGACTGCCCACTGTGTTTTCAAAGGAATGTCTTTTGTGGAAGGTCTTGCTGCTCTGAGAAGTGCACGCAAGCTGTGAAATTTCTCTCCCTGAGTGCTGTGCCATGCTCCCTCCTACCCCCAAATTCTGATACACAGCAGAGTCCTAATACTGCTGATGGAGGCGCTATCTTTCTTTTGCTTGTTTGCTATCTCTTGCAATGTCTCTTGTTCATGTTCTCTCTCTCAATAATTTATTTTACTATCATAAAAGTGTATGTAGCAGATGATAACCTAATGAAGAATTTGTAAATAAACAAAATGCTACCCAACCTAGCTCAGATAGGTTCATTTTATTTTATATACCATCCTTTCATGGCCACTGAGCGTTTTGACACACGTTTCCCGAACAATGCTTAACATGAAGAAACCCAAACTTTTCAATCTTAAAAAAGTGCATGAGCTTCTTTTCGGGCAGAGTCAGGTTTTTTGCCCCACAGACTTCAGTGGGAGTGCCTAAAAAAGCGTGTATTGTGCGATTTTGTGCCTCTCAACCGTCTCCTTCTAGTAATTAGCTTTCTATTGTCTGAAATAATGTTTAAGCCTGAAAAAGTAAAAAAAAAAGCTTCAAGATCGCATAAAACTCTCATACTTTAAGTGTGAATGGGAGTTTATACTGAATATGAACATTTTAATTTCTCCCTAGAGGTGTATACTTAAAACAAAAGTGTGGGTATTTTTTTCCATTTTAATTTTTTTTTTTTTTAATAGTGTTACCAATGGCGGAAAGACAACTTTGACAAAAAGGCTAATTGGTAGCCTACCTAATTGCTGTGTGGTCCAACAGGATGACTTTTTCAAGGTAAAATTTGGCTCTGGTAATTTTAGTGCACTGATAATTGTAATGCAGTTGATGGCTGTCTGCCATTTATACTCTATACTTGGCATCCTATACTAGCTGTAGTACAGTGCCTACAGCTGAGTTATTTTCTAAAGGTTTTGTTGCATGTCTTCTCTGGCTCAGACAGTTTCATTTGGGATTAGGTATTTGATATCGGGGCAAGCATCTCTTTTGAATAGTGGCTTTTTCTATCAATGTTCTCTTCCATTGTGTGTGTTGGAGCTGCATCATGTGCAGCATTGTTTATTGCTCACTATGTTTCAGCCACCAGATCAGATAGAAGTTGGTGAAGATGGCTTTAAACAATGGGATGGTAAGAACAGTGTTCGCTGTAAGAAGCAGTAATGTATATCATAAGTACACTATATTTAAAATCTATATACTTAAAACACATTGTACATTTTTGCTAGTTTGCTTTTTTGACTGACTTCTCAATCTACAGTGATCAGATCAATAGACATGGAGGCCATGGTAGATACAGTAACAGCCTGGGTCGAAAATCCTGTGAAGTTTGCTCGCTCTCATAGAATATCCTTCTCAGCCTCTCCTACTTCTGATGTTCAGATACTGATTCTGGAAGGGTTCCTGCTTTATAACCACATGTAAGTATATTTTGATTTTCTGAGTTTTTAAAGAATCTATTTAAAAATTAAGAATTGGTTTGTAAAAGCTCAGCTGGCATGTTAATCGTCGCTCACATATATGCTGTGGTGGTTAGAGGCATAGGTTTGTTTTAACATCTCCATACTCAGCATTGCACAAGGGTAGCGATAGTTTTAACACAGTATAATATTACCTGGGGGTTTGAGACTTGAGACACATATATCTTCCGATTGAAGCCTTTAGTGCTGTACGCTATTCGCTATATCCAGGGTTCAGTGGAAGACACTTTAGCCAAACTAGTCTCTATATCTTTTAGGGCTTCTTCATGCCATGCCAGCTGTGTTTTCATGCACAGCACTGCACATGTATGATGTGTACAGGGCAAATAGAAAACAATTGTTCTCTACTAAACGTGTGTGGTCATGTGCAGAGAAAGTGTAGTGGACATGGTGATAACTGCAAACTGTTGCCTGTGATGACCACTAGACTCCATTATCCTAATCTGCCCTTATGTGTGCTTTAAATTAATTTGATCCTCTCTCTACAGGTTGTTAGCAAGCATGTGCACTGAACGCTACTACTTAAACATTCCGTATGATGAGTGCAAGAGGAGGCGCAGGTTTGTATAAATCTGTGTTGAATCATCTCTAATGGGGTTTAAAAGATCTTTGCATTTTTCTACATGTATTATAGGAAACGCTGCATGTATTTAAAATGGCAATGTAGGTTATAAACATTAGGTCACATTTGTTTCCTTACTTTACTAGCTCAAAAAGCTCAGCTACTTATTCACTGGTTCAAAGGTGAACAGCAGGCAGTTGGCTAAATACAGATCAAATGCACAGGGTAGCCTTTTTTTACCTGCCCAAGTTACAGGGCTCTTATTGCAGCAAAGCCAGATGCCACTTATAAGGTAGTTTCCACTCTCTGCCTCCAGCCTGTGACTGGACTGTGAACAAGCAACAGTACGCTGAGGTCAACTGTCTGCTCTCTTTTATCGGTATGTTCTTAACCCAATTGCATGCAGCACACCTGATTAGTTGCCAGTCCTGCCTCTCCCTCTTCTAGTCTGGGTGATGCTGTATAGGGGATTACAACAGGTTACCGGGTCAAACTCAGGTACTTGGTTTAGATGCATTTAATGACCTATTTATACATAGATGCATTCATGTATCTTATATCGTCCGAGCAGTTTTACATATATGAAAGTAGAAAACTTTCACTTTGAGTATTTGATCTGATGGGGAGATGCATACATCATGTTCGTGTGCTACAATAATTCATACATCTATTATAAACTATCTTTAAAGAATAACTCCGGGCAGAAGAAATCCTAACTCTTGCAGTGGGACTACCACCATACTGCAAGGGTTAAGTGCTCGTTTTCCTCTAGGGTCTAAAGGTGGCCATACACTTTACAACCCTTGCAAGACTTTTGTCTTGCGAGGGTTGTAAAGTACTTTAAAAAACGTACGATCTGCCCATCTTGGAAAGGGAGATTGTACTTGCGATCATCGCAAGCCCGCCCCCCTGAGGGGCGGGCTTACAATGACTGCAATGAGGGGCGGGCTTACGATGACTGCAAACGGGCTGTGTGCGTGTGCGCACACCGGCCCGTTCGGCAGTTGTCGAACCAGCAGGCCACTAACTCGCCGAGAATCGTACGATTCCCGGCGCGTTTTCTAGCATGCTGGTTTGACAGAAGACGTGCGACCGTACAGTAGAAACGGTTGCACGCCTTCCATACACTGCACGATTCTCGTACGATCACGGGATTTCCCGCGATTCTCGTAAGAGAATCGTGCAGTGTATAGGCACCTTTAGATAAGAAAGATATACTCACCTGAACCTCGGAGTCAGTTGACTGCTAGACCATTCCCTTCAGCCTCTCTCCCCCTCCACTCTGGCGGTCTAAGGTCCTTTGAGTCATCATGTTCTATGCAGTGATGTGAGGATGACGAGGGCCATTCCGTCATTGGAGTGGAGGGGGAGGGAGGCTACAGGGACTGCTCTAGCAGCCATGCGGCTCCAAGGTCTGGGTGACTATATTTTTGTTCTTTTAAACCGTAGACGAAAATGAGCACTTAACCCTTTTTTTTCTTCTCTTCTGCAGACTAAAAAAAAATTCGAATGTAATTTTGCTGCAACGAAATTTCATCCAACACACTAAATTTCGTCCAGACTACCGATAACGAATTTCTGAATCGGAAATTCGGATTCGTGTGCATTCGTTATATCTGTAATTCGGAAACATCCGAATGTCCGAAATTTCGTCCGAATTTCGATTGGGAACGAAACGAATTGCACATGTCTACTAGACACCTAGCATTTTCAGAAGGTGGTCAGCACTGACTGCCCCTGTATTTATTAGGAATGGTTGACTTTCAGCACAAATAATATACACAGATATTAGTCTGCAGCAGCTGGAGGATTTCTGTATAAAGTGAATATTTATATGAAAACATGACAGAAATACATGCTGTAAATGCCAGTAATATGACACTTCAGCTGCTTATTTTGGATTTGATTGGTTTGACATATAACCTTTACTGGAAATAACTGCTAATGCATTTTTTTTTCTATCACATGCCCAGTTAGTTGCCCAGACCTGTGCTACGTTTAACTCTTTGACTGCCACTGCCAGCGTACGACAGCCACAGCGGGCCACTGTAAGCAGACCCCCAGCTGCTATAGCAGGTAGGAGTTGGATTACATGTGTAAAGCTGACTGTCAGCTTTACTGGAAGTGATTTGGGTGGCTGTAAGGCCGCCCAATCACTTCCATGTGCCGCCAAACATCCATTCGCTGACCTCCCCTCCAGGGAATGAACCCTGTACAAATCAATGGCCAACGCCACATTAAGGACTGGTCCTTGGCACAGACAGTTCATGTCCAACAATAGCAGCTCTGGCAGCAAACAAACTAGACATAGCTAATCATTCAGTTTGTATGCAGCCATAACACAGAGTGCTGCCGCATGCCTAGATGTGGAGTTTTGCAGCATCTCCATTTTGTAGCTGCCCTCATTCACACGTCTGAATAACTATAATTTTGTATTGACTTTTATACCTCTGTTTGCAGGATCCATACACAACAAGCGATGTGTTGAAGGGTGATTACATTGTTAATTGAGATTTGCACACTGTTGTACAGCCTCACACACATCCAGCACATTTTGTATAAAACATGAATTTATGGTTTGCACATACTGCAATACATGTTCAAGCTGGGTACCTATCAGTGATTCCTATTTCACTAGTCCCTACTCTTCCAGCCAAATGAATGCAAAAAGTGTACATGCAGTGGATGCTACAGAGCCATATCTTGTTGCTGATCTTCACTATTCAACAGAACTAAAGTATGTTCTCAGATTCAAGGAGGAGAGAGAGAGATAACTACATGTTGTCACTTAGGATTCTCAAGCCTCTATACACCGCTGTACACTCTTGGGGTGTATGAAGTGAAGATGGAGAATCTTAATGTTACAAACCTAAATGGACTATGGTAGGAATAGAATTTCCCTTGTTTTGTGAATTTGGTTAAATGGTGCAGCAGGAAGATGTGTTTATACAGATTTAAGTACTAAAATATCTCTCTGAAGGCAAACAATTTCTTATACATACAGATTTTTTCTTTTGCAGTGGCCGCAACTACACTGTGCCAGACCCACCAGGACTGTTTGATGGTCATGTTTGGCCTATGTATTTAAAACACAGATGTGAAATGGAAGAAAGTGGTGTGAATGTTGGTAAGTGAGCTACATGATTTTGCCAATTGTTTTTCTATAGCATGTGATGTAGAATACTTTCAATCCTACATTTGTGCATGTCTACGGGAAACACAAATGCTCTGATATCTCCTGGCTCTGAAAAGAAATAAACTGTTTTCTGGCTGGGACAGCTGTAATTTTTCATCTAATTGCTTGATGCCAGCAACTCTATAAAGTCATACTTTGAAAGAGTTCATAAACAAATGGCTAAAGAGTTGTCCAGTTAAAAGCTGGCCGATGCTAAACAGCAGAATGGTGATTATCGTGGATACAATAGCAGTTTGACAAGGTATTCAGACAAGGATAGAAGACCATGTAAGATTAAAATTGTATCTACCTGAATTGTACAATTGTATCTACCTGATAAGCTGGTCTTGAAGGTGTCTACACTTACACTCTTCACTGCCCTCTCTACCAGTTATCAAAGAGGGGAACTTCATTGATTGATGTAAGCAACAGCTGCTGTTCCTCTGAGGTTTGTCAGGAATGGGTATCTATTAGCATCTTCTGTTATTTATACATGGAATTGTCACTTGATCTGGCTAAATGGCATGCAGTATGAATGAATGATATCTACCATGACAATTGCATTAAACACCAATTCTTGAAATCTTCACTTTGTTCAGAGTTATATGCTTGTGTCTCCTGCTGTGCACTTGTATCTTAATTTGCGTCATTGCTGTATCATTGCTGACATTGGGGTCTGCAGATAGAATCGCAGCTAGGGGCCAGGCACATGGCACAGTGTCAGATGTGAAGATTCTTCAGGTGGCTGTAGCTCTTAATCACCTCAGTACTGCTGTATTTTAGTTTATAAAAAGACTTTAGCTGAATCCTTAATAACTAATTTGCATTATTGTTTCAGTGCCTATAGATGGTCTTCTGTCAAAAGATGAAATATTTCGTAGCGTGTATACAGATATTCTGAACAGATTTCTAAACTCTTCTTAGGTAAGTCAAAGTTTTGTTGGGTAGTTTGGGATATAAAAAAATCTGACTTTAAATATTTATCTTTATTTCTATTAGGCCTTACAGAAGAAGCTTATACCTCCAGTCCTGTAGAAACCTGGAATAATTATATGCCCTACTCAAGAACTAATTTGTATATATTTTTTTAAAGTTATTTGCATTCTATTATCTTTTACATGTTCAAACATTTTTATACCTTAAGTAGGACATTCCCAGTACCTTGTTCTGGAAAGATATGCCGTGTGTTTTTATACTGTTAAACAATTCAACTGTATAACTGTTTGTGATGTCTTTTTGGCTCATACTTGTGTGCCCTTTTCAGTCTGTATAAATGGCATTGCAACACAAATGCAGGTGATGTTATGATTTTCTTAATAAAACAAATATTCAAATAAAATGGAGAACTTTATTTTGCTACAACATGCGGAAGCTGTAATTGCTTCTGTACCACACATTGGCAAAGCCGGATTAAGAGCGGGGCCTGGTGCCGAGGATTTTGTTGTGCCTTTTTGTGGAAATGACGACGGTCAGCAGGGCCTTCTTCCTCCTGTTCGGGCTGTGAATGGTAGACTCTCTACAGCTTGGAGTCAGTGGTGGAGCACTTGGGCCTGGCTGCAGCTGTGACCCTGGTAGATCTGCCACTGACTCCAAATTGTAGAGAGACTACAAATCTCAGCAATACATTATACAGCAATGCAGAATACTGCCAACTACAGAGGACTACAAATCCCAGCAATACATTGTTAAGCACTGCAGAATAGTACCATCAGCTATAGACGACTACAAATCCCAGCCATACTTTATACAGCAATGCAGAATACTATGAAGCTACATACTCTGTGTTGCTCCGGGTGCATAGCCTGATGTCTTCAGGGTTTCAAGAGGGCTGTGCGGGGTTTCAGGGAGGCTGTTCAGGCTCTTTGGTGGCCAGTGTGGGCTCTTTGGCGGCCAGTGTGGGCTCTTTGGCGGCCAGTGGAGCCTCTGTGGCGGCCGGTGCGGGCTCTGGGTGCGGGCTCTGGGTGGTCAGTGCGGGGTCTGGGTGCGGGCTCTGGATGGTCAGTGCGGGCTCTTGGTGGTCAGTGCGGGCTCTGGGTGCGGGCTCTGGGTGGTCAGTGCCTGGGTGGTCAGGATGTTTAAAACCCTAAAACACAGTGTGTAAGAAAGGGGGGGATTTTTTTTTTAGTTGAGAGAAGTTAAAGGGGTGATGTATAAAGGAAATTATAGGTATATATTCGCTTGTTGATGGCCTCGCTGTTAAACGTGGTACCAGGGGTTGAGACTATACTATCGTATTGGCAGCTGTGTGCACCGCTGGCCACAACTAGGTATCATGGATAAACATCCGCATTCTCCAACCGTGACAGTCACTTCCTGACCGCACACCAGCCTCGAGACAAGAACACCGATCTTGGACCACTCGATCCTCCTCCAAGGCCGCCTCTCCTCCGGTCCCCTCATTTAAATGTAAGTGTTTATTTACTATTCGTATTTTCAGTGCATTGGTCAGCACTCATGATGTAATTATCCACCCCTCAAGTTTTGCGCCCTTTTGTGAGTTTTTCAATTGCATCTTTGTAAACTATGTACACTCACACATAAAACCAGTATTTTTAGCACCGTCCAACAGCATAGCTATAAAATCCCAAAAAGATCATATAATTGTTCATATATGTTGCACAGAATCTTCCCGGCTACCTATGATGCTAGCATTGTAACAATGCTGTAAATACAATATTGGAAGAACACCATCGCCGAACAGAGGAGAGAGGCGGATACCGGAGAGCGCGCGGTCGGAGTGAAAACCGGAGTGATCGGGTGAAAGCGACTATATGGCTGTCTGGAGCTCGTTAGCAGGGGAAGCCCTGTGGTGTTGTGAAGACAGGTTTTCGGGGGAGGGGAAGGGGGATGTGATGGGATTATATTCTGATCTGATCACTTTCTGTATAAAAGTTTGTGCAGTTTCTCAATAAACCAGAGTTTGTTTCACCTACATTCAAGCCTTGGCTGGGGAAACTGGGAGCTAAGGATCTTCAGGACATACTCATCCTGAGTACGGGGGTCCGTCACAGCCAGCATTCGATAAATGCACAGGTGTGCACGGGGCGGACTGACCATTCGGGCACTCGGTCCTTGCCCGAGGGCCCGCGGCCACGACGGGGCCCAGGGCCCGTCACTGAGCCCCCGCTGCCCTATTATCCAATCGCGGGGGTGCTACGGGCATGGCCTTTCAGTTGTATGTGCCTGGCTCCTCTGCTACAATGTAGCAGAGATAGCTCGTCTTGTATCTGCTCTAGCTCCCTGACTGTGTGAGGGAGGGGAGGAGTCAGGAGCCTCCACAACTAGAGGGATGCCGGGGATGCTGCTTGTCTGTAATGTGTGAAGGGGCCATGGGGGCAGAATAGAAGGAAGTGTCCCTGGACCTGCAAAATCTCAGCCCTCTACCAGCAACAGAGATCACTTCCTATTTAAGCCATGCCTCTGCACTTCCTGGTTGCCAGATTATTGTGCTCCTTCCAATATTTTGATTCCTTGCTCTTCCTGTGATACAATCATCTCATACTGCTACCCGTGTACCGACCTTTGGCTCCTGATTCACCGACTACTCTCATCGTCTTCTGCTTATACCCGATACCTTGTTCACTGACTACGCTTCTGCCTGCTCCTATACTTCTAACGTCTGCTTGTGTACCAAACCCGATACGTGACAGATCGTGACAGTTAAATATTACTACACATAGTAGAGTTTGAGCAATAATTCTAGGGCCATCATTCACTGTTAATTCTAAACTGATAACCCATGGACAATTTTGGGTACCATAGTTTGTTGCCGGTTTACAGACACGCACAATTTTAAAGTTTGACATACTTGGTATCTATTACTCGATGCAACTCTTTTTTTATCTTGCCAACAAATTGGGTAATATATTGTGTTTATGTGTACTAAAATGATAAACGTTAGCATATTTTTTACTAGAAATTTGGGTTTAATTAACCATTGCTCATACATCATATGACCTTGACCACTTCCGGGCAGCAATACATCTATAGACTGCGGCCCGCAGAAGTGGTTAAAGCAAGAATACAGCTACTGCAGTAGCCGTGTTCTTGGTGTCGCTTTTAACAGCCAGTGATGGCTGTTAATGTACAAGTGATCCGGCGTCTATACAGTCACCGGATCTTTTGTACCGTGCAGCGCCCCCCCCATTTCTTCGGGCTCTGCTGTCCCAATGCGGCGCCTGGGATCGGCTTGGCAGGTCTCCCTGCAATGATCAGAGACAGATTCAGCGGCTTCCAGCCGCTGATCTTTCCTCTGATTACTGGACCCAGAAGTGATTTGTATTACATCACTTCCGGTGTCACTATTTACAGTCTCCGGCTCGTAGAGCCAGGAGAAGAAGCTGGGGAAGCAGATCTCTGCTTCCTCAGCTTCTTTGGGGTCCCTAGGTGACATTAGAGGTCTGAAAGACCCCTAATGTCTCCATAAAGAGGACCTGTCAAGTCCTATTTGCTATTACATAGGGTGCTTGTTAGCCTCCTATGTGATAGCAATAAACTAAATCGGTGTGCCTACATGCGAAAATTACAATTGCGTTACACGTCACATATCGCCGCGAATGTCGGAGTGAGAGCAGTAATTTTAGGGCCATCAATCACTGTTAGCACTAAACTGATGAGCGGTACGCTATGGGAAATTTTTTTGGATATTGACTTTTTTGCGGCTTCATGGGCGAACGCAATTTTAAGGCTTGAAATGTTTGGTATTTATTTACCCGGCATGACCTATCTTTCATATTTTACCAAAAAAATTGGTATTATATTTCTGCGCACTAAATTTTAATGTAGTTTATTTTTTTCTAACAATACTGGTTTGATAAACATTTGCGCAAAAACCGTGCAACATAAAAAATTGCAACTAGCATTTTTTTTATTCTACAGGGCCTCTGCTTTCAGAACATATATCATTTGTTTGGGGGTTTGAAGCTGTTTTCTAGCCAAAAATGTATATTTTATCATGTCTGTGCAAATAGTAAGAAAATTCTCCGGACAGCAAAAATTGCAACTACCACAATCTTCGTCTTCATGGCCTTTGCTTTAAAAAAAAACTTTAAGTATTCTCCAAAACTGTGCATTCTTAAATGGGTGCAAAAAAAAGCGAAATGTTTAAACTATCTGCATAGCAGATTCTTATTTCTCAATGCATTTAGATCAAGGTTGTCCAAGGACACAATCCAGCACAGTTTATTTTCAGTTTGCTGCAGACATTCCTATCTGTTCATGAGTCCAACAAATGTCATCTAGTTCTGCCCAAGTTGTGGTTTATTCTGTATCAGTAGATACAGTCAGACAGAGCTGGAAAAAGCTAGTACAGACAAAGAGCAAACTATATTTACTTTGCCTGCGTGCTTACCATGACCGATCCAGAACATGACACCTCTAATAATTTAGGGAAGGCGAAAGGACATGGACATGTGTTTCATGAAAAAGCGATAGCCCTTCTTACACAGCTGATGTGCAAAAATCGCATGCACAGACAGCAATACAAATATAAAAATCACATTATCCAATGAGTTTGTACAGTACTAAACAATAACACTATTTTTCTTCTGCAAACCATAATGATACCTTAATTTTTAACTGTTATAGAAATGTTTACCAGAAGTGAGTCACACAACCACACAAAAGCATACCTTTTATTTGTTTTATTTTCCAAAAATGGAGAAAGTCTTTATATATGAATCAGCACAAAAATACTGACTAATGTTCTACATATAAATAAACAGTTTATCTATCTTTACACAATACCTTGGTTATAAGAAACATGTATTATTACTATTATTATATAACTGTAGCGCTCACCCCCGAAGGAGCCGCTGGATGATCGGGTCTTCTGTTTCACCTCTGTGACACACCACAAGCAATGAACCCACAGCACACCAGCACACCTTGTGAAGTTTTATAACAGATTTAATGACTATGGAATA